TAAAAAAATTGGCTCATGAGCAAAATAAAGATAGTCACACGAACGGATTGATTCTAGCGAGAAATCGATATTTTAATCGCACGCCGATGATATCAAGTAGAAAATGAGAGCGTAATCTCGCGAACGTGATCGCATGCGGAACGAGTCGATTATTCATTATACGAGCACTATGAATCGTTTCGACGTGACGATGCAGCGCACGCAATGGCACTTCACGATGGCCGATCGGTTGATTATGCGATAAATATTTCCTAGGTGCGAGATTAGATTAAGTTTTGGTATGACGCCGTGATGCGGTTCATGATGCCGACATGAAATGCTGCAGCGAATTGCGAGTGATTGCGATTACGTGCCGACGATGACCCAGTGTCGTCACGCTTGCTGACCGACCTTATAATTGCGGCCGCAGAGATACAATCGCTAATAATTGCTCCAATAGTTTTTACCCATGAATCACGATTCTTTAAAATGTAACGATATTATCGAGAAAAAGTAACAGTAATAGTAATGTTACAAATAACACGTTAGTTTCCAATTCTTACTATTATTTTTTAAAAGGAAATCTTAAGCTTCATTGTCACATGATGTAGAAATCAGTTTTTACTACATGGAAAAAATGATTTGCTGAAGTATCTCAAAATTTAAATACAGATCTGAAAATAATTTCGTTAAACCAATAAAATTATACAGGAAACGTAAGCATGATGAGTGATGCTGCAAAAAAATATTAATAACAACTAGTTTGAATCCACATAATTATTTTGATGGTCCAACGAAATTATTTTTAAATTTATATATCTAGCTAAATTTTTAGATATTTTAGCAAAACTGTCCTTTTCGCGTAGTTGATTTTATAATAAAACGTAATAAAAATAAAAAGTAATTATGATATAAATCATAAATAAATGTAATAATAATTTTTTTAACGCGCACATAAAACAAATATTTAATGTGTGTGTTAATGCAGAAATATTATATTAAATTGAACATGAAGCAATATTTGAACACGAAATAATTTTAACATCAAAATGATGTTATTGATTTTCCAACTTCAACTTTTTAATTTAATTCCATATTTTTTGTACGGCTTTTATAAAATCAAATCGTAATAACGTGTATTATGGAAAATGTTAATCCGCTCGGAGTAACTTGAGAGACAAAGTATCGAGCCATCGAAAATTCGGCCACCTTTTATCAGAGACTCAACTTATTCCGCTTGAATTCTTAATCAAAGATCGGTGCACCTCGGTAACAGCCACCTCAATCCCGCGGTTTGCTGAACATCCACTCGAGTGGGTCGGTCGGCTTCTCTTCAACCGAAAAGACTTACCGCAGAATTTTCCGAATTTTCGTTCAGTCAGCTTTTGTGAACCGATGACGATAAAGTAATTTCGTATATTATATTACCATCCTGATATTTTATAAAATTACATATAAAAAAAATCCCATCTCTTTTCAATACAATAGCATAGGAACGAAATAGATATCGCGGGACGAAATGAAAGTTTCCTGTTGGAAACGTCCATCCTAATGTTTACATTTCATTTCGTAATTAAAAACGTAGCAATTAATTTTAATCAAGCGGCGCGCAAGATGAAAAACGTTGCGCCGACGAGTTGATTTTTAATCGCTAGTTACTTTTTGTACTTTCATTGTGGTTGCACCCGTATTTACCGTATCCAACCGAAAATGAACCGTTGTCAAGGGAGTGTCATTTGTACCGGAAAAATATATAGTTCGAATATACACATTAGAGGCACACGCGAACGTGCACGCTCGTTCGTTAATTTCATTGCTCTGTTTATTTCCCGTGAATGAAATTAAAATAGCTTCTCGGACACGAGGGTCCCTGACGGACGGGATGAGCGGTGGTTCGCGAAATGGAGAAGGGTAAGGGTTAGCCCAGAAGGTAGAAAGACCTTACTGCGACTCCACCTTTTTAATTAAAGTTTGAAACTGAAGTAGAAAGCGCATGCGAGAGAGCACCGGTACTCTCGAGGCGAGTGAAGCGCGACGCATAAAATAGTCAAGTGTAGCTTTCCCAGTAGTGAGCACTGTCATCTCGCTTGTTTAACATTCTGTCCATTATAAAATGAGTGGACTGGTCCAGTCAACCGAATATCTCTCTGTTGAGATGTAATTTCTGGAAACATGTAATTTACCGGTAGGTCGTCATGTTTAATTGATGTATTCTCTGATGGTGGAAGCAACACAGAAAAATTATCGAGAAAATTTCTTGTCAACGTTCTGAATTACTTCTGCATAAATAAATTGAAACTTTAAAGTAGCTTTAAAGTGGTATTATCTTTTTGCTATCGCTTCATTGAAAGCGGATCACGTAGACCGACATAAACATGCGCGCGACTAGTGCAATCTGCACCGGTGTCTCGTATCTAATTCGCTTTCTTAAGCTTTATAGCGCTATTCTATTGTCTACGGGTACCATTAATTTCGCTAATGGTTAATCGATAGACAGGCGAGTTGTGGGTACTGTCCTACGGTCGCAGTTCACGTGTAATTGTACGGATCCGAGCGATCTGTAGGAAGCAAGAAGTACAATAAAGCTACAATAAAGGTACTCGGTCGGAGTGCTCTATAGTTGTAGGAACGGCAGTCGGTAGTTAGACACCTGTTCGCGGGGCACAGACTACATACAGACGTACGAGCGTGCGCGATCCCTGCGCGGGGAAAATGAGAAAAAGGCATCGTCGACAAGAGAGACAAGACACGAGAGCGATCGGGAAGAGGAATTATAACCGGCGAGAACGGAAGGTGCTATTTATTATCAGCCTCGTGGGGCACAATGGCTCGCGACTGCTGATTGATGTTCTCGCCTTTAGTCACTGTCCAACGTGTGCTATATTTACAACAATCCGCTTAACCCTGTACATCATCGAAGAAAAGTACCGCCGAATCACGCCGAGTGAGAAGCGAGTACACGTTTCGTCCTTTCACGAAATTTAATTATTCCCCATCATGCTGATTTGCGCTATAAACTTTGGTAATTAAAGTGATAGAATTATTCAACGGCAGTGTAGCCGCGCCCGATATGAATACGGGAGCAAGCACTACGTGCTATTTACACAATTTCGAAATATACGACCGATTCTGCGTACAATTCGCCGTTTGTTCACAAAGAGAACCTATTTTGATGGAACGCGCTACGTGCAGGTAAACGATTGCCGAGTTAATTATTTACACAGTGAATTTATCGCGAAAATGTTATGATCGATTAATTACATGGAGTTAAAATTCAGAGAAATACACGACCAGTTGTTATCGAGTTCCGATACGGTACAATAAATCAGAATAAGGTCTAGAATATCGCGAATCGATCGAGCGTCAGTAAGTAATCAGCTGGACGAGTCGTCATCCAACGTAGTAGAGCCCGTTCTATCTAGAATGTGACGTGTGCCACGCACAAGAGCTTACGTGACGAGAATTAGTTATCGCGTGGAAGCAACCAGTGGCGTAGATCCCCATGCGGTTATGTCGTAGACCTCCGATAAACGTTCATAAAGTAACCCTAAAAAAAAAAACCTTTACGGGTCGAGCTTGTGACTACAATAGCCACGTCTGCAGAATTTTATATAAATCTTTTTTTAGATCTGTCGAGAAAGACGCGACAGCGAAATCTAGAATGTGTCAAGACGAATCGTATAGTGGAGTCGTTGGCGCATAGAGAAAGCGTGTGTCGCGCGTTTATGCATAATGCACGATGAAATCGCGGATAACGCAGAGGGATGGGCTTTCCGCATCGCCACTATCATGATCATTTAACTCTCCGAGCTGGGCTCGATAACGTAAGCGCGCGCTTTATCTCAGTCCTATCTCGCGAGGCCGCATTATTAATTATATGCCGGCGGAGTTGCTCAATTGCCGAGAAATTGTCGGCACAAAGCGATCTCGGAAAGCACCGTCGACCGCGGCGCCGACGAAAGAGACGCGTGACGCGATTACTGCATCAGTGACATTGCTGAGAGCTACCGCTGTCGTTGAAAGGGCAACACGTTCTGCGCGATTGACCGAGCTCTGAGCGTGGAATAATGGAACGCAAACTGTAACGTGTTTACAATAGCCGGTGATCGTTCAGGATCACGCTTCGAACGCACGCTTCGATCTGTCACGGTGACAGCTGAGTTTCTTTGACATTTACGAGTCTGTATTTTTCTTGTATTATCGAGTGTATGAGCGTGAATATTGCCTTTTAAACACATTTAATTTATTTGCCCTTTAAAAAATTTAATTTATTCATTTGTGAAAAATTAATCGTTTAGTTTTGCTAATCGTATGTATTTTTCTGTGACGATTGTCCATGTTGCTCCGGAAAATTGAGGGACGTTCTCTTAAAAGACAGGATTAAATAATAGCTATCTTTTTCGAATGATGTGACTTATCAAATAATTTTTATTGAATTCTGAATCTTCTCATCTTGTCGCATTGTCGTTAATAAATAAATATATTATTAGTCCGAAAAGGGATAGTACGTAGAATGTAGAAATGTAATTGTATGCGTATGCTGCAGCAAAAACACAACAAACTCTCTTTTTTCTTCTTAATTTTTTTTTAGAAAATGTTGACGTACCTTCTTCATATTATTAAACTAATCAGAGCGAAGCTAAATGACCAATCATGTTATTCAATATATTATTATACAATCAATACACATCTTACAATTATATTATCGTATTACAATCTACAGAGTTTTATATATGCAAAGATGGAGCATGTTTTTAAATAATATGGCAATCCATGCCTTTTTTCAACAAGCCACTGCGGTATTCTCCATTCCATTTATTCACAAAGCATATTTAATATAAAAATTAAATGCTTAAATAACTAACTAATTAATTAATTTAAAAATTAGACTTTTAGACATAAGAATGTATGTTACGATTAAATGGAGAAAGGAGTAGTATCAAGTTTATGTGCAGAAATTAAGTAGTTTGAAGTGCAAAAAATTAGTTTCATTCATAAACGATTAAAAATAGAGCACTCACGTTTAATGACAATAGCGTACGTCGCAAGTCCTGTTATCGTGCCGCAATGCTCACCGGACCTTCCCTCCTCCTGCCACCTTCGCACTGTCACCCCACGATCGCCGTCCGATTATTGTGATCCACAATGTGCCGTCATTTCACCGAGCACACCACACTTTTTTTATGACGCGCGTCAGCGAGGAAAAAAAAATCGAAACGCGGGCCGTCAGTGCGGCGGGCACTCTCACGCGGCGTGTGCTTTTCGCGCGTCGCGACGTTCGAGCCCGGGTACGATCAAACCGACGAGAGCAATGCGTACCCCTCGCGACCCCGTGACGGACTGAGGATCTCGTCGACGGTGCAGCGCCGCCGTGACCCGTGGCGACACCGCGAACTAAATCCGCGCCCGCACATACGCGCCGCCGAGTATCACCGGCGCGGTGGCGATCCGCTTCGCGATCTGGGTCCTCCCGCTCGACTCTCGCCAATTTTAACCCTTCGGGTACACCGACGGTGCTCGTTGGTACCTGGATGCTTTCCATCCCCCTTGAATTTCGGATCTATGAATAGCAGAAATAAATAAATAAACGGAATGCATCTTACTTATTATGCTCTTGTCATCTTGGCTTTAGATGCTTTGAAGTTTATGTTTTTCAAAAATTTTTAAAAAGGAAAGATTCGATATTTGAACAAAACAAACGAGCTGAAATGCAGCATTTTTTTCAGCTGCAGCGTGGAACGTAAAGTAATCGAGTTTTTGCAACCGTCGAACCGACGTAGTTTTTGCATTGTTTCTGCTCTCTGTTACCGAGACCGTAAATATACTACCCAGCAGAGTGAATATGAATACGACTTCATTACCGTAGTTATGTGTACACTTTGCAAAATGAATAAAATGTTTCAGCAGTGGAGCGATATTACGAGACAGACTCTGCTGGTAATTAATACCTAAAATTTACATGCACTATAAATAAACGATGTAGTAGTATGCCCATACGAAGTAGCTAGCCAAAGTTATTGAGGAGAAAAAAAATGCAATTACTAATTTTACAATTTTAATCCGCACAAAATAAACTTTTTTTATTTTCTATACGTATTGCATTATTAACGATAATATTTATGTTGCGAAAAAGTTCGAGAAAGATATAATAGCAAAATGGTATTCTTTAACTAATTTTAATTGAACAAAACTTTATAATCTAAACGTTCTAGTTATGAAGTTATTTCGAGATAAGCATTAAAAAGTAGCAGGGAGAAGCTGGCGTCGCGAATTAATTTTTTCCTAAGGAACAATCGCCTTTAAATTACTCAAGGCACCGCCATCTGCGGACGCGGAAAAAAAGTGCGGGGAAACCAGAGACATTTTGCATAATACATATGTCATAAACGTTGATGGGCTTAAACTTGGCTATTTTCCATCATGCTTTCTAATGTTTCCAGTGTCTCGCCGCAAGACATTGGCGATGCGGTTTCGCATTGCTCTTTCCCACAGGGTTTTACGGGCCACGGTAGAGCGAAGAGGTCCGACGTGGTTCGTCTCGTTCGACGAGCGGCAAACGTCGACGCGGGAATCCGAGGGGGATGGAGGACGCCGTTCGTGTAAGTGGCACCGTCGTTCCGAAATATATCGTTGCGGTAGGTCGCGCGGGAGATCGTCGGTGGTATCCGAAGAACGAAAGACGCAATTATCGGTTAGCGTGGCGCCTCGGCGTTGCTCGGTTCGGTTGCTTACGCCATTTACCGTATTGCTTGTACATTACCGCTTTTCTTCGGGACTCGGGCTCTATTTACCTGACGTTAAACTTGCACGTTCTCTCACGGTTCTGCACTAATGAGAAAGGGAAATTTTAAAGATAAAAGAGAGAAAAGCAAGAATATATTCTTAACAGGGACGTACCGCTTTCATTTAAGAGATATGAAACTTATTCTTTCTCCTCGCTTACAGAAACTGGAAGTTAAAATGCTAGTAAAATTTCGATTATAACAGATGAATCTTTCCTCCAAGAGTAGAGTGGGTGATTAGATAACTTTTGCTGCGAAAGAGAACTTTGAAATATCGTGCAGTAAAAATGAAGACTCTCGTTACCGAAAATTTAACGTAATTCGCTAAATTGTCGAAGGCACTTTGCATCGATATATTTATTAAGTTCTTTTTTATCGTGTTTCATCCTTTCCTCGAAATGACCCAGATTTTCGGGGTCATCTCCAACGGTTTTCCTCGCTTTTTCAACCTACAAATCTCTCGTACTCTCGGATGTGGACACATGGTGTAATTTAGCTCTCCGATTTGGGTCGACATCTATTCGAGGTACTAAACGTTGGTCGGAAACATCGGCGAGCATTGTGGCGACACGATCGAGAACAATATCGCGTGTCCATGAATCAAGCATACCCTCCACTCGAGACGTCGATCCGCTTTGGCCTATGTACGATAATGTCAGCCGATAGCGCGGAATCGGTCGGCCAAATCAATCAGTAGCTATATCTCGCGATCCGCAAGGGTCCGTCTAGAATGGGCATAGTTCACAGTTCAGGTCGCGGATGCGGAGAGGGCGGCTTGTTTCATTCCGAGATGTCTACGTGCCTACGGAGAGAGGGGGGAAGAGGGCCTCGTACAATCGATCGCGATTCGCGTTTCGCGTCCGTAAACTGAGCATGTAATGTATTTGGGGGACTATTGCTTTTTCGGTCGGAGTTACGAGAGGAGCGCGACCCTCCGGAACGGAACCATGTCGTACGAGGCCAAATACGAGGCACTTAAGCGATGACCTGACCTCCGTCGCTGGCGTCCCCAACTCCGTTTGTCTTGGCGAGCCATCGCCTTTGACAATTCTCCTAACTTGTTCCGAGAAGCTCCACCAGAGCATTGCTTACTCGCGACCGTTTCGAGACTTGTGTTGTTACGCAAGTGGCAGTCCGCTTTACGATACTCGTAAATCAATGAGTCGCGACGAACGTCAAATTCTTGTTAGCCGCCCATGTGGCGCGCGATGATCCGCGTACGTTTCGCGCCTGAATAACGTTAGGAGCACTCGTTTCACGGCGAATCGAAAGAATCGGATATCCAGCGTAGCGCAGTAGAATCCTTCGCGGCCAAAGGGGGCTTTTTCCGACGAGTAATTCCTTTGTGATTAGTGGCTCGGGGCATCGGCTTACTCGGCCACGAGCAAAAGAAAACGTGGGATTGTTTCCTCGAGCTGCACCGTTGTTACCGCACCCCGCTCTCCTAAAGCAAGCTTAGATTTAGTGCCACGTGGAAATAAACGCTTTCGCCGCGGTGAACAACAAGAATCGTTCGTTACGTTAATGACAGGTTTCTTCGGGCGAATGGGAAACTCGGAGCTCTCTCCCTCCCTCTCTCTCTCTCTCTCTCTCTCTCTCTCTCTCTTTCGGCATCGGACAAAAACTCGCAGCCCTTTTCATCGAAATGAAATATCTTCGTGTGCTGCATTGGCCGAATACCGATGCAATTAATCGCGTTGATGCAGATTAATCCCCTGTAATTTGGTAAACATCGTGGAAGCGACGCACACTTTCTTCGACCCGCCATTAACTGGATAACGCGAAATCGTCCCCTTCCCCTGCCTCTTCCTCCCTCATCAGAAACAATGTTTCTGTATAGCGAGAGCGACCATAAATCTCGACCGCGTCTTTTCGTTCGCGCGCCTCGAAAGTTTTCGCGTCTTATATTTGTCGGGTTTCGAAGGCCTGGCGGCGCGGCCCGCTCGATATTTTGTTATGCCATTAATAACCACTGTCTCGCTCCTCGGTAACAGGCTTTCTCAATTAATCTACGTTACGAGTGTGCCGAATGGCGAGGGGAAATGTAAAAGCTCGAAAATTAATATTAATGCACGGAGCAGAGAAATCCATGCCGTTCGTTGAACGGGTAGAATCGATATTTTACATGGCGATGTCAATAGCTAATGAAAACGTCGAATAATCCGATACCAGTGTAGGTATTCCTCGTATTGTTTCGCACCGCGGCAAACCTTTGTGCCGCGTCCAATGAAATTGTTTCACCGACAATTTGCGTTATGCCAGTAAATTGCTTCTACGGATGGTTATGCAACGAAAATCGTCGAAAAGTGAACTCGTTTGTCGCCTCGTTTAAATTTGTCCGCGTCGCGCGATCGTAGTTCGATTCTTCGATTAATCTGTTATAAACGTTGGAAACGTTTCTTTTTGCACGATTTGTTTCTGACGCGACGCGTTCAACGAAATTGTTGACTCACAAAACTAAAAGCGACATGTGAGACGGCAGAAAACTGTCACGGCGTCGATGCCACGCGTTGATGGGAAAACGAGAAAATATCTTTTTCTTCCCCGAGAATCGAGTTATATGAGTCACGGTCGTTTTTACTCGCACGAGAGAGAAAAGTTACATCGCAAATTTTAATGTGGTGTCCGCTCGAATGAATGACTTCGTATAAAAACTGCCGGCCGCAGAAGGCCCGGTAAAACGGATCGCTTTTTTACGTGTCACTGCTTTACCTTGGATTCACGACTCGCTTTAGCGGAGCGTGCACGTTACTTGCACCTTGTACGCGGGGTTCGCGTGAACGAAAACGAATTGTTACCACAGTAAGCAATCTTCAGCGATCGTCGAATAACTCATAAATCACAATTCATTTATTATGATTCTTACACTCGCTTCAATTTCCAAACAATAGACCGTTTCCAAAATTGTAATTCGTAAAGCATTTCATATTCATACCCATCCTCTCATAATTCGGGTTATTTAACGCTTTGCTGCGCGGTGGAATATTATTGAGGCTTCGTTTGATTTACATAGATTGCATATGGCAGTAGTATTAATTAATGCAATGATTAAAAGACCGCTATGAAATAATTCAGATAATATTAATTGCGGCACATGTTATTAAAATATTCACGTCGCTCTGATGAGTTTGCAATCGCGCCGATAATGCTTTTGTACGAATATCGTTTTTATATCGTTGTACATTCTTAATGCCCGATCGTATAAAACGTGACGTTTAATTCCGATGATCAGCGCGAATCCTATACCCACCTGGATAACTTGATCGACTGTTATTTCGCATTAAACGCATCTTTGTCAACCGAATTGTGTTCGCGAACGACCGCTGGGCTTCGTACATTCGATGAGCCACGATATTTCCATATTAACGCGCATCACTGTCAGTTATCGGCTGAAATTAGTCGAATAATTTGTTCACCGACGCGGAACGGTGCGGATAGCACCAGGGGAGACACGGATGTAAAGCGTGGGAGCAACAAAACGAAAGGACGAAAGAGCGAGAGATTGGTAGATTCGTGGTTGTTGTTGGAATTTCATAAAGGTCCAT